ACCGGAGTCTCCTTGGTCACACAAGATAGGACCAACGATGCCCACCCCCGCAGGTCTTTGCTTTCACCACAAAGGGGTGCCACTGATTCACCCTGGAAGCCCTTCAGTCAACCACGGGGAAACTGCTGTTAACAGTTCCGGCCTAGACCCGTGGGGGAGTGAAGGAAGACTCAGGCTTACCTATAAACATAACCTCCCTGAGTCTTGCCTGCCAGACAAAAAAAAGGTTGCAGGAACTCCTTTCCCGCCTGTCTTCTCTATCTTCCTCTTAGCAAGGTCGCCAGCTGGGTTATTATATCTGCACCCCAGCAATGCAGTTCAGTGGGTGTATCATATATCGTTTGTAGCCAGAAATGTATGCTCGTAGAGAAATATCACAAATGGAGGCACACTCAAACACAGTAATAAAATGTGTGGATTTACTGACGCAAATTACATGAACACACACACACAATCACAAGTAATACATGAATATGGAATATGGATGATGAGTCTGGAGATCGTCAGCCTCTTCTCCCACGACCTCCAACACTCCTTCACTTGGGCAGGAAGACAGGAGTCTCACACTCTCACAGGAGGGCCTCTTCACCACGTCGGCACTTCTTCTTCACTGTCCTGCCATCCATCCACACTGTCCTCTCTGACAGTCCTGGACACAAGCTGCCTTGCAGCCTATTCTACTATTAAAGTAATAAAGTCTTGCTGCCACATACACAAGTAAATATTGTGGCCTAACTAGCCTACTCATACAAGGGGTAATGGGAGGGAAATATGATCTACCTTACACTCCTGGCTCACGACGCCTGTCCCTCGATGGTGTGAGGTTCCCACGCTTCCTTGGGTCGATCCTCGACGATCCAGGGCGTTCCACAGGTCCTCAGGTGTCGTGAAGCCTTCGCGTCGTCGCCGTTCCAATCCCTGAGATTCAGCTGCCCCAATCCTGGTTCATCGATGGGCGCTGAGCTAATCACTATTTTTCCCCACACTCGCCTCTCCCACAGGGCGTCGCTCCTTGTCCTAGGCACGGTGTCGTCCTTCCAAGATTCTCAGTGGATGTGACCCCAGTCACAGCTAGCTTGCTCGCCCACCTTCCAGACCTCAACGTCCAGCCAGCGGCGCCGCCCAGCGTCGTCGCCGACTATTTTCCAAGTTTGGGCACTTCTCTGCTCACTGAACTTGGTTCCTCTTTGGCTTCCCAGAAGCGCAGGGTCTCCAATGACTGTGAGGGGCAGCGAAGGCCAGCTCAATCCACTGAACAAGGCTTGCAGAGCCTCCAATCTTTGAGAGCAGACCGAGGCGCGTCCTGTCGCTTCCACGGTCAGTACAACTCTGACGTTGGCGCCGCCCGGGGCACTCGGTGACGTCATGGCGGGCCCTGATTTGTCGCCCGCGACCTACGTCGACCAATCCGCGATCGGCTTGTGGGGACGAGGAGATGGAGGAATGGAGAATGGTGGGGAAGACAAAGGGACAGGGGAGTGGGGCATGGCGGGAAGGAAGAGAAGATGGTGGAGTGGGGAATGGTGGGGAGGACTGGGGGACAGGGAAGGTTGCTGTGGCTTAGCAACGCGTGGCCGGGTACTGCTAGTATATATATATATATATATATATATATATATATTGTCACGTGGGGGTGGGCGGTCCGGGGCTCTGCTAACACTTAACTGCTAGGGGCTCAAAGGGCCCAAATACTCAGCCCCTCCGACTCCCTGGATTCACCGGAGTCTCCTTGGTCACACAAGATAGGACCAACGATGCCCACCCCCGCAGGTCTTTGCTTTCACCACAAAGGGGTGCCACTGATTCACCCTGGAAGCCCTTCAGTCAACCACGGGGAAACTGCTGTTAACAGTTCCGGCCTAGACCCGTGGGGGAGTGAAGGAAGACTCAGGCTTACCTATAAACATAACCTCCCTGAGTCTTGCCTGCCAGACAAAAAAAAGGTTGCAGGAACTCCTTTCCCGCCTGTCTTCTCTATCTTCCTCTTAGCAAGGTCGCCAGCTGGGTTATTATATCTGCACCCCAGCAATGCAGTTCAGTGGGTGTATCATATATCGTTTGTAGCCAGAAATGTATGCTCGTAGAGAAATATCACAAATGGAGGCACACTCAAACACAGTAATAAAATGTGTGGATTTACTGACGCAAATTACATGAACACACACACACAATCACAAGTAATACATGAATATGGAATATGGATGATGAGTCTGGAGATCGTCAGCCTCTTCTCCCACGACCTCCAACACTCCTTCACTTGGGCAGGAAGACAGGAGTCTCACACTCTCACAGGAGGGCCTCTTCACCACGTCGGCACTTCTTCTTCACTGTCCTGCCATCCATCCACACTGTCCTCTCTGACAGTCCTGGACACAAGCTGCCTTGCAGCCTATTCTACTATTAAAGTAATAAAGTCTTGCTGCCACATACACAAGTAAATATTGTGGCCTAACTAGCCTACTCATACAAGGGGTAATGGGAGGGAAATATGATCTACCTTACACTCCTGGCTCACGACGCCTGTCCCTCGATGGTGTGAGGTTCCCACGCTTCCTTGGGTCGATCCTCGACGATCCAGGGCGTTCCACAGGTCCTCAGGTGTCGTGAAGCCTTCGCGTCGTCGCCGTTCCAATCCCTGAGATTCAGCTGCCCCAATCCTGGTTCATCGATGGGCGCTGAGCTAATCACTATTTTTCCCCACACTCGCCTCTCCCACAGGGCGTCGCTCCTTGTCCTAGGCACGGTGTCGTCCTTCCAAGATTCTCAGTGGATGTGACCCCAGTCACAGCTAGCTTGCTCGCCCACCTTCCAGACCTCAACGTCCAGCCAGCGGCGCCGCCCAGCGTCGTCGCCGACTATTTTCCAAGTTTGGGCACTTCTCTGCTCACTGAACTTGGTTCCTCTTTGGCTTCCCAGAAGCGCAGGGTCTCCAATGACTGTGAGGGGCAGCGAAGGCCAGCTCAATCCACTGAACAAGGCTTGCAGAGCCTCCAATCTTTGAGAGCAGACCGAGGCGCGTCCTGTCGCTTCCACGGTCAGTACAACTCTGACGTTGGCGCCGCCCGGGGCACTCGATGACGTCATGGCGGGCCCTGATTTGTCGCCCGCGACCTACGTCGACCAATCCGCGATCGGCTTGTCTCCCTTCCAAAAGGTCATATCTGCCGCAGGGGATACTGTTTCATTTTATAACAGGGCGCCAATTTTCCTTTATTTACAACTTATAATATAACCTCCTTCCATTAAATGGCAGCCGGTCTGGTCGCCACATATATCACTAGACTCCCTGAACCTCAGAGAATCAGTAGGGAGAGCTGATATGACTCTTTAAGCCGGCAAACGAAAGAAATAGGAGAGGGCACCGTAACAATATATATATATATATATATATATATATATATATATATATATATATATATATACATATATATATATATATATATATATATATATATATATATATATATATATATATAATCAGAGAGCAGAGCTCCTCGGAGACCACAGAACTTCTCCGCCACACCCTAAGTTCCTTGGACAGAAGTCCAACATTAGTCCTCTCACACAGGGTGTAGGAGGACATACAAAGTTGTGTGACAAGTGTATACACACTCGGGGGAGGCCGGCTGGAGACGGCCAGTCTTAGTCCACCAACAGGAAACTGTTAACTCGAGTTATTAGTCCTCAGTTCCTGCTCTATGAGTAGCAAAGCGGTATGTGATTGTGTGTGTGTGTGTGTGTGTGTGTGTGTGTGTGTGTGTGTGTGTGTGTGTGTGTGTGTGTGAATTTCTCCCATATTTCTATACACTTTTTTATTACTATTTTCTTTCCAGTTTTGCTTCGGTATTCTTCTCTCCTCTATTCGCTCTCCAGAGAAACTCTCTGATCCCTCTGGTAGTTCTCTTTCTGATATCCCATCTTCTTCCTTCCATTCTTGTCCACTGTAGGTTCATCTATTCTTAGGTTTTTATGTTCTTACGTAAGAGTAGGGAAAGGAGGCACCAGTGTCGTAGATAGAACACTGTGTCGTAGAAACACTCGTGAATATCTGTATAAAATGGTCCTCAGTGCACGGTATTCACCATTATTCACCATTTGGTTTATGGTTGAAAGGCGGGTCCCAAGAGCTGATACTCTCCCCCCCTTTCCCCCGCGCAAGCTGAACCACGTGGGCACACTACGCACACGCACGCACACGCACGCACACGCACGTACGACTCGCTAACCGGACACCAGCTGCCGGCGGACAAGCACCAGCTGGTGGTGTAAATTTGGTATTCTGCATCGCTAGACAACTTGTGTTACAGGAGACACGGAGGTGACGGGAGGGAGACACGGAGGTGACAGGAGGGAGACACGGAGGTGACAGGAGGGAGACACGGAGGTGACGGGAGGGAGACACGGAGGTGACAGGAGGGAGACACGGAGGTGACAGGAGGGAGACACGGAGGTGACAGGAGGGAGACATTAAGGTGACAGAAGGGAGACACTAAGGTGACAGGAGGTAGACACGGAGGTGACAGGAGAGAGAGAGAGAGGTGAAAGGAGGTAGACACGAAGGTGACAGCAGGGAGACAACGAAGGTGACAGAAGCGAGTCACTGAAGTGACAGAAGAGAGACACTAAGGTGAAAGGAGTGAGACAATTAGGTAATAAGATGTAAATTAAAATAAGGGAACTGCGCAATGTTTCCGCTGACTCCTTTAATATCTCAATATCTGACGGGATATCTTGTATGGCATTTAGGGAGCTCGTATACATCTCGTTAATGTAGTTCTTTACTTTCTTCCGGAGTCCCTGCTCGAACTCGGGGCTCTTTGGACCTCGAATCCCGAGTGCTGTCCACTTCTCTGAAAAGATGGGTGATATAAATGTGTGTGTGTGTGTGTGTGTGTGTGTGTGTGTGTGTGTGTGTGTGTGTGTGTGTGTGTGTGTGTGTGTGTGTGTGTGTGTGTGTGTGTTCCTGTAATTTGCTGTATGTACTATCCAAATCTAATTACCACTTGTGTTTTATGAGCAAGTTCAGGATCGTTCTCTTGTACTGAAAAATCTGTCAATGGAATATACGTGATTTTGTAACAAAACAAACGCTGAGTGCACTTCAACATCAATGTACTCACCAAGCAGGGCTCTGTTGATGACACCCAACATGCACTCAAACATCAGTGTACTCACCAGGCAGGGCTCTGTTGATGACAGCCAACATGCACTCAAACATCAATGTACTCACCAAGCAGAGCGCTGTTCATGACACCCAACATGCACTCAAACATCAGTGTACTCACCAAGCAGGGCTATGTTGATGACAGCCAACATGCACTCAAACATCAGTGTATTCACCAAGCAGGGCTATGTTGATGACAGCCAACATGCACTCAAACATCAGTGTACTCACCAAGCAGGGCTATGTTGATGACAGCCAACATGCACTCAAACATCAATGTACTCACCAAGCAGGGCTATGTTGATGACAGCCAACATGCACTCAAACATCAATGTACTCACCAAGCAGGGCTATGTTGATGACACCCAACATGCACTCAAACATCAGTGTACTCACCAAGCAGGGCTATGTTGATGACAGCCAACATGCACTCAAACATCAATGTACTCACCAAGCAGGGTGCTGTTAGTGATAATCTGGAAAATCTTGCCCGGGTCCATGGTAGAGAGAGAGAGAGAGAGAGAGAGCGTAGAACTGCTTTGCCCAGGCGATGATTTCCAGTACTGACTCGTGCCTTAGCACAACGTTTAAGAGATCTCTCTCTCGACCTCTCCTACCTCACGTAATCTTGGACGAGGCGGCGGGAGGGTTGTGGTTTCCTAAGTAGTCTGTTAAAAGTTTTTATAAAGCCAGAGTCAAATTGCTGTTTTTGTTTATGTGTCGTCGTCTCCTGCTCGTACTTGGGTCTTGTGTGTGGCAAGATTCCGGGTTCTTGGAGAGCCTCTTTTTTTTTCTCTATGTTGGGGAGGGGGGGGGGGGATTTGGACGATGAGGTAACTTTTTTATATCTTCAATGTTTCTTTACTTTATTTCAATACTTGTCTCAAGTCAGATCAGATCTAGTAGTTTATACGCGTGTATACCCTAATAAAATACACACACATACACACACACACACACACACACACACACACCCACACACACACACACACACACACACACACACACACACACACACACAACACACTCACACACACACACACACACACACACACACACTCACACAACACACACACACACACACACACACACACACACACACACACACACACACACACACACACTCACACACACACACACACACACAGGGAAGGAAGAAAGGAAGCAAGGAAGGAAGGAAAGAATTTGTAAGGGTAAGCACCAAACCTTTACAACTACATAGCACTGGGAAGGGGCCAGAATAAGGATTTGGGATATGACGGAGGAAAAGGAATGCAGCCCATCCACTTGGACGGTCGAGGACTGAACGCCGACCTGCATGAAGCGAGACCGTCGCTCTACCATCCACACACAGGGAGATAGTCAACGAACATAAACAGTACCAGAAGTGACTACACAAACAGAAGTTAAAACAGATAAAAGAAAGAAAAATTAAATCAATAAGAAAAAACATGTGAGTAACTACTACAAGGCACAACACGATGAACCAAAGGAGAGAAGAAAGCGAGAATTAAACTAATATTTGGAATAGAATTAAATAAAGAAATGCAGGTGAAGGAGGCACGCAGTAGTAACCAACAATATCAGGAGAGGTTATCTTGAGGTTATCTTGAGATGATTTCGGGGCTTTAGTGTCCCCGCGGCCCGGTCCTCGACCAGGCCTCCACCCCCAGGTAGCAGCCCGTGACAGCTGACTAACACCCAGGTACCTATTTTACTGCTAGGTAACAGGAGCATAGGGTGAAAGAAACTCTACCCATTGTTTCTCGCCGGCGCCTAGGATCGAACCCAGGACCACAGGATCACAAGTCCAGCGTGCTGTCCGCTCGGCCGACCGGCTCCCTTAAAGAGGTTAAAATCCACATTGGGACAGCCGCAATATCTGACTTCTTCTGATACTTCAAAACGAACGGGAGAAAATCAGAATACAAGACGATTGTGATGCATGGCGATATACGACAAGGAAGCCCGGCCTCGGGCCGGGCTTGGGGAGTAGAAGAACTCCCAGAACCCCATCAACCAGGTATCAACGACAATACACATACAGCATTAAAATAGAATACTTAACCTCTGCTAAGACAAATTACGAGTTATGAGAACAGACACAGGAATAAGAAAGCCCTGAAATAACTTGAGAATGGAGTGGACGCAGGTTCCTCCAACAGAAAAAGGAGAACGATTTAGGAGAAGACATAACCACAAATTTAACTCGAGAAAAGGATACTTCCGAAAGGCAGTCTTTAGAATTCTTCCCGGGCATGGAATCTTGGCTGTGGGGACTGAGCTGTGAGGAAACACAGACGGAAGTGGACCTCATCATACTGACGGAAAGAAGGAACAGGGGAGACATGACAACGACATAAAAGTTTCAAGAAGTGACTGACCAAGAATATATACCAAGATATGTTTAAAGTGAGGAACAACTGAACGAGGAAACAAAAATAATAACTAGAGACACAAATGATTTACAAAGATATCTTTTCTTTTAACTTCTTCGTCGTAAAATTAGATTAATAAATCACATTAAAAAGTTGTCAATGCTGACTCAACAAAGAGTTTAAAATATGATAGGAATAAAACCTGGTTATGTCCATCTAGGTGAATATACACACACAACTTACTATGCAACTCTTATAGACACTATTGCATTTAGAACAGTATTTAGAACACAGCATTTAGAACAGCATTTAGCATTTAGAACACAGCAATATGTAGTGCTACATTAAACAACGCGATAACTGCCTCAAACTGAAACATCCGCAGAGAGAGAAAGAGAGAGAGACAGAGAGAGACAGAGAGAAAGACTAAGTGAGAGAGAGATACAGAAAGAAAGAGTAAGTGAGAGAGAGTGATACAGAGAGAGAGAGAGAGTGATACAGAGAGAGAGAGAGAGAGAGAGAGAGAGAGAGAGAGAGAGAGAGAGAGAGAGAGAGAGAGAGAGAGAGAGAGAGAGAGAGAGAGAGAGAGAGAGAGAGAGAGAGACGCAATAATCGGACGCACCACTTCATTCGGTCACATTAAATTGCGCAATATAGAAATCAACATGAAAACCAAATTACAACCAACTCTTCACAACATATCTAGGAGTCGCTTTGTCCCAGTGGCCTCTTTGTGATGCATATTGCCTGGGGGTTCTCCCTGTGCCGCCTTTGGCCGTCCCTCACACCTTCAACAGAGTGGCCTTCATATAGAAGACACGTAGTCACTTTTCATTACGAAGAAGGACGTGAAGCGTGTATGATGACTTCTGACAGAGAATATAATGAATGCGAGCTGAGGGCTGCTCATCCAGGGTTTATAGAGGGCAATATAAACGGAAATTTCATAAACGGAACGGAACGGTCAATAGTCATAAACGGAAATTTGGTTGAAAATTAAAATTACTATTTACAAATGTAAACAAAAAGAACACAAGTATATATATATTTTTGTACAATATTAGAGTTTTTAGTCGTAAAAATGGAGGTTTTCTAACCAGGTTTTCCATGTGAAAATATATATAAGGTGTTTTGTGTTTTTGTTTATCTTAGCTCCTCAGTGTAAACAATATGTTTACATAACTCAATATATGTCAAGACACTTTTATGGCACTAACAACACAGCTGACACTACCAAGGCTATTGAGTGACAGATCTGTTGCAGTACTACTGTGGAGTGGCACTGCCATGACTTAGTTTTAAGTGCCTCTGGTGAGTGACAATACTAGGGGGTGAGTGTTAAGTGCCTCTGGTGAGTGACACTAACAGATAGTGTCACTCTTTCCTCTTTCTCCTCTTTCCTCTTTCAGCCATACGTCTCTACAATACAAAGTACACACAATAGCAAGACAAAACAGGACAAGGGCGTCAGGGCACGGCTGCGGGCCACCAGTAACCAAGAGGAGGCAGAGACAAGGGCGTCAGGGCACGGCTGGAGGCCACCAGTAACCAAGAGGAGGCAGAGACAAGGGCGTCAGGGCACGGCTGGAGGCCACCAGTAACCAAGAGGAGACAGACAAGGGCGTCAGGGCACGGCTGGAGGCCACCAGTAACCAAGAGGAGACAGACAAGGACGTCAGGGCACGGCTGGAGGCCACCAGTAACCAAGAGGAGGCAGAGACAAGGGCGTCAGGGCACGGCTGGAGGCCACCAGTAACCAAGAGGAGACAGAGACAAGGGCGTCAGGGCACGGCTGGAGGCCACCAGTAACCAAGAGGAGACAGACAAGGGCGTCAGGGCACGGCTGGAGGCCACCAGTAACCAAGAGGAGACAGACAAGGACGTCAGGGCACGGCTGGAGGCCACCAGTAACCAAGAGGAGGCAGAGACAAGGGCGTCAGGGCACGGCTGGAGGCCACCAGTAACCAAGAGGAGACAGAGACAAGGGCGTCAGGGCACGGCTGGAGGCCACCAGTAACCAAGAGGAGACAGACAAGGGCGTCAGGGCACGGCTGGAGGCCACCAGTAACCAAGAGGAGACAGACAAGAACGTCAGGGCACGGCTGGAGGCCACCAGTAACCAAGAGGAGGCAGAGACAAGGGCGTCAGGGCACGGCTGGAGGCCACCAGTAACCAAGAGGAGGCAGAGACAAGGGCGTCAGGGCACGGCTGGAGGCCACCAGTAACCAAGAGGAGGCAGAGACAAGGGCGTCAGGGCACGGCTGGAGGCCACCAGTAACCAAGAGGAGACAGAGACAAGGGCGTCAGGGCACGGCTGGAGGCCACCAGTAACCAAGAGGAGACAGACAAGGGCGTCAGGGCACGGCTGGAGGCCACCAGTAACCAAGAGGAGACAGACAAGGACGTCAGGGCACGGCTGGAGGCCACCAGTGACAAGTCAGGTGGGGCGGGAATGTTAGTCCAGGAGCTTGTTCACCTTCCACTTATAGGTAAGTTCGCATAGATAAGTACACTCCTGCGCATGCGCGCGCGCACACACACACACACACACACACACACACACACACACACACACACACACACACACACACACACACACACACACACACACACACAAGACAAGACTGAGGAAAACAGAAGGGGCATATACAGAAAGCGACAAGGAAATCTGCGAGGTACTGAATGCAAAATTCCATGGAGTGTTCACAACCGAGCCTGAGCAGCTCCCATTGTTAGAAGAGATTACCCAAGATGAAAGACTATCAGATATAGAG